TACGCATTTACATGCCTTTAGCCCACTTGGCCTGCGAATATAACATTTGTCTTCCTTATCCTTCAATAAAGTGTCAAAGATAATGCGCTATGCGTTTGCGCCCTCTCTGTTCTTGTGTTTGTACAGTGTTGGATTTCCCCAATACGAGGAGGGCTGCACCATCACTAATTTTCAATTTGGGTTGCGAAAAGACTATGTGATATTTGATTTATGCCTCTACCTTTTTTTGAGAGCCAGAGTATCAAGTTTGAGTTCTTTTCCTTTTATTACTTATTTTCAGAGCAGCATGCTGCAGTACACTGCATTACAATCCCCTGCCGTGAAAAAGGAAGAATGAAATGTCGCTTTGTGACATTTCAATAAAGTTGAAAAAAAAGTTAATAGTTTAATGTGTCACTATTAACTTTTTTTCAACTTTATTGATGTTAGAAAGCGACATTTCATTCATCTTTTTTCACAGCAGCAGATTGTATTGTATATTGGTGTGATTCCTCTTATGGCTTGTTCAAGGACTGCCACTCCTTTGAAAAGCAATCCACACTGGGATAACTTTCCAGAAGTGATTGACAAACGGTGAGGAGGCGATATAGCGGGTGTGGCGGGGTCCCACCTGGACCCGTAGGTTTTTTTACTGCTATTGTTATCTTATTAGGTATTAATGTGTATAATTGATCTGGTTCTTGGGCAGTCGGCTTCTACACCCCAGAGGATCTCCACCGTCTCCTTGGCTTGTAGTGTAATGTAAACAGAGTTGAAATTGAAGCTATAATTTTACATGTTTATTCCATTAAAGGTCAGGGGAACAATTAAAAAAGGATTCAACGTGTTTCAGGGGTCTAAGTGCCCCCTTCATCAGGCTTCACTTGCAATAAAGTGAACACACCAAAGGTGAACGGAACCTACAATGGTATTTTTCCCATTGTGAATAAAAAGCACAGGCCTAAACAGCAGCCCTGATGAAGGGGGCACTTAGATTCCCGAAACACGTTGGATTCTTTTTGAATTGTACCCCTGACCTTTAATGAAGTTGTATCTGGACCTCTTAGAAGTGGTGTGGTTCTTCTATTTCAAATCATTTCTCCTAGGTGACTCGCTTTATTATTTTGTCACCTATTCAACAAAATAATGTAAATTTGCTGCAATTGTAAATAAACACATTTATTTCTGAGTACAGAATTCATGAACATGTATGCAAATTACCATAAATAATAAAAATCGCTTTTTACCGAGGTCAGTGGTTCACATTCAGGGTTACTTCTTGTAAAATATATGGTCCAACAGGTATAAAATGTGATCTCTACAAACCAATAATTCAAGCATGACTTACTATAATGAAAATTGGAAGAGAATGAATGGAATGACATCTCCGCCCAAAACAGTGGATGGACTGTGGTAGGTTGTTATCATCTGCAGGCTTCTTAAAGCCCAACTCTGGGCAACTTGAAAACTCTCTTTTGCAGGGGGGCTGCACCTACACTGCAAAGGGTTAACTGCTCATTTAAAGCGGTTGTAAATCCTTACATATACCCAGTACAGTGAGTGGCCTAAGGTGAGATTAAACAAATCCTACATACGTTGTACCTGTTTATCTGCTGTTTCCCCTTCTCTACATCTGTTTAATTTCCAGAATTGTTAACATTTGTGTGAGCTATCAGAAAAAAGGGGTGGAGAGCTGAAATTACAAAAATGGCAGAGGGAAGAGACACAAAACTGAGGCTGTCAATCACAGGCTGTGTGCTGGCGCTCCCTGTTAATTTTTTTTTCTATTGGTGTCAGGAAAACTTGTCAGAAGTTATTTATGCTGATAGTAGAAGAACGGGACAGCAGACAGAAATTAAACTTAGTGCTCTGGATTGAGACAAGTAAACACTATAGAGGCTGTGTTCATGTTTTATATCTGCGGTTTATAACCAGTAAACTTGGGGGCATGAAAAAGTAGGTTTCTCTCCTGATCCTCCATTCCTCAACATTGCTAGATTGGCCCCCCGCAGCATCTTCTATCCCTTGCTCCAGCAGTCTGATGTCATAAAAGACCCATGACACCAAGGGACAGTCCATCGCCGAAGCATGGGGGGAGCGCTGTCTGCAAGGGAGAAGAGGATCAGATAAGTAAAATTGCTTTTACTCTCCCCTAGAATAAAGCGGGAAGTTAATCTTTTCGGTGCAGAGAATCCCCACTGCAAGGGAGATTGTTAAAATTTCCCACAATTGGGCTTTAAAGTAGACCTAAACCCTTCTATTGTTTTCAGCCAAGGAAGCTGCCATCTTAGCCTCTCTTTGATCTTCAATTGCCGTGATGCTGCACATGGGATCGGTTATGATATCAGCCATTTGATGGTTGGACAGGTATGTTGAGAGGTATGCTGGCCATACACGGTTAGAAAATTGTTTAAAAAAACGGTTGGATTTTTAATGATCTGTCAAATGTGCATGCGATAATGCCATCATTGTATCAAAATATTTCCCACAATTATCGACATATTATCAATCATTAACAACATAAATGGTACATTTTTTGTTGATCGGTAGAAATGATGTTAAGATTTTCTGACCTCTGTGAACCCTTCCACTCGCCAACTGTATTTAAAAGAAAGATCTTTCTTTTCATTGCTTGTACGTTCCAACGTTACATTTTAACAAACGCATCTGCTGTATATTTTTTCAAACTGTTTTCCATTCCACTAATAATATCTAGAAAATTTTAACTAAAAAAATCCAACATGAGGGTTCCTTTTTTTGCCATAAAGCTTTGAATTTCAATTGAAATTAGCTCACTAGCGTTTTGAAAGTCAAATGATCCAGTGTATCGAACGCTTTTTTAACCACTTGGTAACCGTGCTATAGCTGAATGACAGCTACAGCATGGTTATTCAGTTGTGGGAGGGCGTCATATGACAACCTCCCAGAATGCACCCTCCCGTGCGCCCCCAGTGGCGCGCACCCGGCAATCTCCTTGATCACATCACCCAGACACAGCTGATCACATCATGAGGTAAAAGGCCAATCACAGCATTTTTTTACCACGTGATCAGCTGTGTCCAATGAGTAATGAGTAAATACAGTTGCCAGTTATCAGCAGCACTTTCCTCACGCTGGCCACTGAAATAACGTTCAAGTGCTAAATGCGCATTTAGATGCATTACACGTGCCAAGCGTTTTTATGTCAAGCTCTTGCATGCACTGGCAGTGGGGTTTTTCCTGCCTTTAAATGCCCCTGCAAGCCTATGTGTGCAAGGAAGCATAGGCTAACACACAGGAGTATTTAGAGGAAGGGATAAAAAAAAAAAAAAAGGTAGATGCCCCTAAGAGCAGCTGAAAAAAACCAAACATTCAAGTGTGCATGAAGCCTTGCACCCCGGTCACACCGATTGCAGACAATACGGTATGGCTTGCCATGTGATTTGCAACCCGCATGGCATGGCAAATCACATGGCAAGTCGCACCCGGTGTGACTGAGCTGTTAATCAACTAAATGTATCAAAACAAAAAAGTGTCCAAAGTATTAGGCTCCATGCACACTAGCATTCTTTTTCTGCTCCTAGAAGCGAAATAGATTCATCCTATGTGTCCATTCACACTACTTTAGGCTATTAGCGTTTTTGGAGCTTCAGTGTCTAGGAGCAGAAAACAATTGTTTTTGTAGAGTTTTTTGGAGCGTTTTTCCAGCAGAAAAAAAACATTAAACGCTCCTAAAACTTTACTAAAAGCCTTTTTCTAGCTTTTTTTTTCTACATGTACTGTAAAAACGCTAATAAAACGCTAATGCTCCTAAACACTCCTATACGCTACTAAAAACGCTATTACCAGCGGTTTTTCATCCAGCATTTTTTCCAGCTTTTTTTAGCTTAAAAAGTGCTAGTGTGCATGGAGTTATTACCTTTAACAAGCAGCCACAGTCTGAGAAGAAAAGCCTGCTTCCTGCCAGCATGCTGCAGAGCAGGACACTTGCTCTCTGTGTGGAAGCAGTGATCTCTGCAGAAATCTGACATACCCCCTGTTGAGTCAGCACATGTTTTGTAAGAAAAAAATCTGTTTTGATGTACCTGGAATGTAGCTGAATTAAAACTGAAAGTTCAGTTGGGTTTTAAAACTGATTTGTTACTCTGGGTTACTGTTCATTGCAAAATGTAATCTCTCTTTGTAGAGCCTTGTTGAATAAACTCAGTTCAGTATGTGTCAGATTTCATTTTGCTTCCCCCTCTACCAGGGGCGGACTGACAACTCATGGGGCCCCCGGGTAATAGGGGATCATGGGGCCCTTGTGTCCTTGCCCAAACTCAAAAAAGCCTATGAAAAAGGTACCAGGGGCATCCCATGGGGCCCCCTACTGACCCCGGGCCCTCGGGCAGTGCCCGAGTTTCCAAATGGTCAGTCCGCCCCTGCCCTCTACTTAAAGCGGAGTTCCACTCACCCTGTCAAAAAATAAAAGTCAGCAGCTACAAAAACTGTAGCTGCTGACTTTAAAAAAACAGCCACTTACCTGTCCCTCGGTCCCCTGGTGTGTCCCCCGCAGCCCATTTCACTGGCCGTCCTGTATTCCAGGAGGCCGGCATCTTTAATGTGGGCACTCGGCTGTGTCGGCTTGCGGCTTCATAGCCGGGTACCCACTGTGCATGTGTGAGTAGCGCTACACTTCATGAATGGTCCTGTAGTCTTCTGGGACCCGTCACGTGTCCCAAAAGACTACAAGGAGGGAGGGAGGACACCTTCCGCTTCCAATCGCCTAGGCGATCAGACCCGGAAGTGGGAGCGGGTACCTGTCATATTCGGGTACCCGCTCCCGCCCCTCAAAGGTGCCAATCCTTAATGGGGAGCGGGGAAGCAGTCCATAAAGCGGAACTTCCCCTTTTGGGTGGTGTCATTTTCTCTGGCCACACCCATTCTATGACATCACACTTTGGGGGTGTGGCTTACATTACAGTACAAACCAGACTGCCAGCTGCAGCCCTATGAATCACAAAGGCACATCAAGCCTATAAAAAAGATTTTCTAAAGTTCTTCTAACACGTGTGGCCTGATCCATTGGCTTCATTTAGTGTCTCTGCTTTGAATTTCATGGTTGGGGTTTCACTGCCGTTTTTTGGCTTTTCTTCAGTGGCCACTTGATTGTAGTCAGCGTTTGTCTGTCCAACACTTTCCTTAATTTCCAACTCTTTATTCTGTTCATTTTTTTCCGCCTTGGCCTCCTTCCTGAGCAATCGATAGTTGTAGAAGTTGCCGACCAACAGAAAGACACCAGCAAATACCATGATGGCTCCGCACTCTAAAAACATATACTTATAATCTCCTAGGACATCCACAATGGCACCTGCAAGGGAAGAAAATCGATATTTAGAATAATTATATTTTAAGGATTTTAAGGATTTACCTTCCTTTAAACCTCCTATTTTTAGCTCTCTGCTCATTAGTAGTCATTGGGGTCTATAAAAAAATGCTGTGCGTATATCGCAAGCATTCGCACAGCTGTCAATAATCGCTGTAATGTTTGTAATATGTTTAATTCCTATGATCGGCAGCTCCATCTAGTGGACATGATTCAGTTTTTCCTGAAGTATCTCAATGGGGAAAATACTGCCTTATGACCACTAGAAGGAGCTGACAATCATAGGAAGAAAACATTACACAAATTATGGTGATTATTTGTGCCTGCACATTTGTATAAACAGATTCCATAGAGCCACTAACATTATAGGATGGGTAAAAACTATACAGGAGCCCTAGCACAAAGGGGAAATCAGGGTTTTCTACCCACTATTGTTCTCCATTTTGCTGATGTACTATGAAATAGATATCAATTCACAATTAATAGTGTGCATCGATAACTCGTAATTTGTTACAAGGTGGTGATGCAAGTAGGGTTCTTTCAACACTTGTTTATATAGTCCATAAAACAGCAGTAAAAAGTAAACTCCTGGCTTGATAAAGAACTGTTAGGACTCAAAACAGCGTCACACCAAAGGGTTTTGGCTTTCAGCTTCATGCTGCTGTATGGACTAAATGAAAAAGTCAATTGTGTAAATTGTGTAAGTGTGAATCACCTTCCTAAGACAAGATTTATAGGTTTCTTACAATCACCATTAAAGGAAAGTATGATCGTTTTAGAACCGCATTGCTGTTATATGTAGATTTGTGGTCTGTGCCTTCACCCCAAATTTTTTGTACTAATAGAAAAAGTACAGGAAATGCCATGTTCCGGTGAACAACCACTATTATGAGAGTCAAGAAATTCATGAATGGGATGTATAGGGTTCAAGAGAAGGCTGCTCTACAAGTGGGCAAAGATAAATAGATTAAAAAAAAATCAGTGGGACAAGATTGGCATCACCAAACCTGGATTTCACTAATGTGAAATGCTGGCAGGTTAATTGGATCCTGTCTAAATTGGCCCTAGTATGTGTATGTATGTATGAATGTAAGTTAGGGACCTTAGATTGTACGCCCCTTGAGGGTTAGGGACTGATGTGAATGTACAATATATATGGAAATTGACGCCGCTAAATAAGTACCTGAAATAAATAAATAATGTTGAGCTCTGTGTACCATTACTCATCTGGTTATATAGTTTGCATATGGGTACTTTGATGGGTAGGTGATGGGCCCTTATCCCTTATTATAATAAAAATCAAACATATTATGTGAGCAGTATGGGAGGATATCATTATGGGACATGCCCGTGGAATACTAGCTTGTGCTGGCATCAGTGATGTTCTCCCCTTTGCCTTGATTCACATCACAAGAGGAACCAGTGATCTGACGTTTGTGGCACATGCATATAAAAGTTGATGAAGCTCTTCAAGCAAAACGTGTTGAGTCTCGACTTGGTCTATACTCGTGTTTATATGAAAAAGTTGAATTAAAAAAGAATATTGTATAACTAATGACAGACTGGACAACCCAGAGAGACAAGTCATCTGAGACTTCTATTATATGCTATGGGTCTTTTTTTTTAATCATGTAACTGTGTTGGTGTACACTATTTTATCATGATATTTTAACCATATTTGTTATAAATATACATTTTATTGAATACCTTGTGTTGTTAGCTTTAATTTGGCACCATTAAAGTCCCATTTTTTTCTATATTTGATTATTTTTGGTTATATACAGTATTATTATATATATCATCATCATTACGTTATTTCTGTGCACATTTTGTAAATTACCTCCAATTGGTGGTCCTAGTAGAAGAGGAACACACTCTACCATTGTGACCAATCCAACAGCACTTGTAAATCGCTTGGCTCCAACTAGATCCATAAGGGTTTCAAAGAGCAGGGCACATACCATGCCAAAGCCTAAGCCAAAGAACACACAGTATGTGACAAGGCCCATGTAGGAAGTAGCCAGTGGGCACAGAAGATGGCATACACCATTAAATATCACAGAAAAACTGAAGAAGTACTGGATTCTCGGCCTTATCCATTTTGAGTTGGCTATAATTCCAGTTAATGGCCTGGCAAACATATCAACAATGGCGAGTATAGACAAGAGAAAAGCAGCTGAATATTCGTCAATACCACAATGTTTTCCATAGGGAGCAAGAAACACAATGGGGGCATAAAAGGCAATGAACATCAGGACGTTTCCGATGAGGTAGATCAAGAAACCTCGATGCTTAAAGAGTGTCAAGTCCAGATTTCTGTTAAACCGGGTTAGACAACTTTCTTTCTCCTTTTTTGAATCTGCTGTTTTTCCTGGTTCAGTGAGACCTATGTTAACTTTTTCTGGGTCTTTCTCCTTTTTGTTTTTAGTAGCCATTGGTCCAATGGGACGGTAGAGTGCACCTGCCACACAGCAGTTCAGAAGAAGGGCTCCCAAGATGAAGAAACTGCCCCTCCATCCATACTTGTCAAAAAGAAACTGATTCAGTGGAGCAAGGGTCGATAGCACAACAGGACTTCCAGCCATTGCCAAGCCGTTGGCCATTGGTCGTCTTTTCAGAAAGTACTTCCCCACAACGATGACGGAGGGTTGAAGGTTCATAGAGAAGCCAAACCCTACACAGAAGGAAAAATTACACAAGAAATAATGTCATTACAAAATGTAAATTGAAAAAAAAAGCATTGCAAGTCATCCTAGAGTATGGCGGCCACCCTGAGAAGGCCCTACCACCTTGCCTGCTTCATAGGACACACGGAGATATGGTAATATCATGATGTTGAGCAGGTACATAATTTGCAAGGTAGTTCACATCTGTCAATTTTTTTTTTTTCACCATGACACAGTTACCCTTTAGTAAACAAATATAACACGTTTGTTATTTACAGAGGAGTCCCTACAAGCAAAGTTCAAGTTGACCTTCTCTGGTTTTAAACAAACAATAATATGTTGTACATATGGTGCAGCGCTAAAGATAAATAAACAATACAAAATAATACAGTAATAATAATAAAACTATAAAAAGATCCTAAGGGATCTAAAATAAAGTGCAAAGAATTAAAGTGCAACTTAGTGAATATAACAAAAAGGGTCACAAAATCAGACCCTGTATACAGTGAAAAAACCACAACCCAATCCCAAATTGGGATGATACATACCAAATTGTGTCAACAAGGTGGATTCCAAAAATGGGATAATCGTAAAGTGACAAGTGCTAAAATCACAATATATATATATATATATGGTGTATACACAATGTGACAATAAAAAATGCAAAAACAATAAATATAATATATCCTGAAGAAGTCACGTGGGATATGTGACGCAATGTGTCGATACTCTACGTGGTGATGTCATTACGCTGGCAGCCATCTTGGTACACCTAAGGATACATGTGAATACACCCATGGTATGAGGTGGAATGCCAAATCAATACTGCAACAATGTGAGTATATTTATTCCATTTATCTAACAGTCTTCACCTCTGGATTATATACTATCACCACAGACAGGATCCTGCAAGATTTATGATATATATCTTGTGATCTGGACATTATAATTTACTGTGATCATTAATTACATTACACACTGCGCCTTCTATAACGGTTTTGCATATTACTCATAATACTTCAGTTGCCATTTGCACTATATTTCCTAGAGCTGCACCTTTTTATCGTTTGAATCTTTTTGAAAGGTCTGTTGGTTCCTTTTGGTGTTCTAGTGGCTTTTTACATTTCATGTGATTACGTTATCTACAGGTAGAGCTTGCTATACAATCTATACATATTAAAAAAATACCTCTATGTGTAAGCTTTACTAGAAGAATGTAGTATCAGCCAAGCACTCATATTGGGGCATTGTGCAATCATGTGCTACTTGTGCAGTTAACCCGAGGGGGAGTCATTTGTTCCACCTGGTGAGCAATCAATTGCTACTATTAGAGTCTAATCATTAGCTGTATTAATAGCAGAAACTACTAAAAATCCCCTTCATAGCTTTAGCCTTAAATAATGCCAATTTCATATACCCAACAACCTGGAGTTGTGTACAAATGTGAATTATGGAATAAATGGTATTTCAAGGACTATATTTTATAGAACTTTTGACATTTGCAAAAAAGTGAACACTTTTATCATTTAACACATTTTTGGAGGCACACTGGATTTATGAAATGTAACATGTTATGCAAATTTAGGTTGAATGCCAACCACTAGGTTGAATGCCAACTACCCGTTTAGGTAATAATCAATTAGAGCTCCCTATTATCCCATCATTAATTTTGCTCTGACACAAATCTAATTTATTATCATCTCATTTTACTAGCATTAATTAGTATGTGATCGCATCCTACTCAGCTCTTCTCTTGCTGACTTGCCATTAAAATGATTTGAAGTCACAAACAAAATTCTTTTTCGCAAATTTAACTCCTTTTCTCACTTAAAGCTGAACTCTAGGCAGATATAAAGGAGACAAAATAATGAAGCTCTGTATTCATTAATAGCATAATTAATTTATTTGTTTTAATGCAATAAGTATGAGTACCTGAATTAGACTACTCCGCCTAATCAGCCTCTTGGAGTCACTGTACAGCAGCGCTCAGACTGGGAGTTGAAAAAAACCTGCATTGCGATTTTGATGTGCCTCAAATTTGATGTGACTTTTGGTTGTGCTTTGGATGCAGTTTGCATATTTTATGGGGTCAAATTAACACAGGACCCTTTCACAGACTGTATTGCAGCTGTTCTGCATTGATGTGAATGGGTACCATTGGAAGCAGAATTATTTCCTATGTCATGCGATTCAGTGTGACCCTAGTTGCATCTGAAATCGCATTGGTGTGAACCAGGCCTTACTGTGCTAAAACGCAGCCGCTGGCCTGTGGTAGACTGGAACCGATGATGGCGCATTGCACAGTTTACTTTTTTTTGTTTTTTAATGAACTTTGTTAAAATGTAACAATGTGACATTTTATTGAGTTCTATTGGCTGCAGCGCAGTGCAAAGTGATGATTGTGACACACTGCAAAAAAATACTGCATGTTCTACTTTTTTTTCAGTGCACACCACTACAACCCGGGGGTGTGCACAAATACGAGTGCTTCACATGCCCTTGTAAATAAGGCCTGATACAACTGCAAGCACTTATTTTACACGGGATCTTCTGCTAGAACCGGACATTTTTTTTTTTTTGGTCTGGCCTGCCCAGTCCTTCTATTCTATCCTAGGCCTATATTTGGCTCCAGAAGCCTACTGGGATATCCACATCAAAGATCCCAGGAAGCATTTGCTTACACACAGAGGACAGAAAAGAATGGACCTGGTAATGTCCCATCAAGAGCCAGTTTCAAGACCCCGGATGAGACTTGGCTCCCATTGACATCATAGAAGAAGATGGTGGTGTGGGTCCCAATCAGGGGCGTATTTGCCACAAGGCAAACAAGGCACTTGCCTAGGGTGGCATTTTTCAGGGGGGGCAGCACACCCCTCCAGAAGAAGGGATGAAAGAAGGAACACGCGCACCATGGGAACCAGCTGTGATCTGAGAGAGGCTTTGGGCTGCTTGATGGTGTATGTAGATACTGACTCGTGTTCCCGGGGATGTCCGAAGCTGAGAAGATGAGCATCTCTCTAGCGCCGCGGGGGAGTAGTAGAAGGCTCTCCCGGTTGGGGGGCAGGGTTGTTGTTGGTCAATGTCAGGCTTTCTCCGCAGGAGGGGGGAAGGGGGGGTTGTGTTGGTCAGTGTCTGTTGGGGGCAGACAATTTTTGTGTTGCTTAGGGCAGCACAAAACCTAAATACACCATTGGTCCCAATGAGTGACAGATCACAGCAGGGCAACGCTGGATACCCGGAGCCTGTGAGTATGTTATGTGTGCTGAGTGTGTGAGTATGTTATGTGTGCTGAGTGTGTGAGTATGTTATGTGTGCTGAGTGTGTGAGTATGTTATGTGTGCTGAGTGTGTGAGTATGTTATGTGTGCTGAGTGTGTGAGTATGTTATGTGTGCTGAGTGTGTTGTGTGTGAGTATGTTATGTGTGCTGAGTGTGTTGTGTGTGAGTATGTTATGTGTGCTGAGTGTGTTTATGTGTGCTGAGTGTGTGAGTATGTTATGTGTGCTGAGTGTGTGTGTATGTTATGTGTGCTGAGTGTGTGAGTATGTTATGTGTGCTGAGTGTGTGTGTGTATGTTATGTGTGCTGAGTGTGTTATGTGTGCTGAGTGTGTGAGTATGTTATGTGTGCTGAGTGTGTTATGTGTGCTGAGTGTGTGAGTATGTTATGTGTGGTGTGGCTGAGTGTGTGAGTATGTTATGTGTGCTGAGTGTGTGAGTATGTTATTTTGTGCTGAGTGTGTGAGTATGTTATGTGTGCTGAGTGTGTTATGTGTGCTGAGTGTGTGAGTATGTTATGTGCTGAGTGTGTGAGTATGTTATGTGTGTGCGTGTGTTATGTGTGCTGAGTGTGTGAGTATGTTATGTGTGCTGAGTGTGTGAGTATGTTATGTGTGCTGAGTGTGTGAGTATGTTATGTATGCTGAGTGTGTGAGTATGTTATGTGAGTGTGTTATGTGTGCTGAGTGTGTGAGTATGTTATGTGTGCTGAGTGTGTGAGTATGTTATGTGTGCTGAGTGTGTGAGTATGTTATGTGTGCTGTGTGTGTGTTATGTGTGCTGAGTGTGTGAGTATGTTATGTGTGCTGAGTGTGTGTGTATGTTATCTGTGCTGTGTGTGAGTATGTTATTGTGCTGAGTGTGTGTAGTGTTATGTGTGCTGAGTGTGTGAGTATGTTATGTGTGCTGAGTGTGTGAGTATGTTATGTGTGCTGAGTGTGTGAGTATGTTATTTGAGCACAAACCAGTTGGTAAGGTAAGAAGGAAATAAAAGTTAAAGTGATTGTAAACCTCAGGCATGAAATATGAACAAAGCATATCCCTCTATTGTGTGTGTCTGCTGCTTCATTCCTCTGCTATCTGCATGAGTCACTTCTAACAAGTTTTCCTGACACCAAGAGAAAAAAGGTGACAGGGGAGGAATCTCCAGCACACAGTCTGTGATTGATAGCTCCAGCTCTGCTCCTGGGTGCTGTGTGAAGGGAGGCGAGTCCCTTTCCCTTTTCACCAATCAGATCTCAGAGCTCTCCTCCCTCAGCTCTTCAGTGTGTAATTTCAGCTCCCCACCCCCTGTTTTCTAAGATCTCAGAAACGATCAGGGGCGGACTGACAACTCATGGGGCCCCCGGGCAATAGGGGATCATGGGGCCCCTGTGTCCTTGTCCAAACTCAAAAAAGCCTATCAAAAAGGTACCATGAGCATCTCCTGGGGCCCCCTACTGACCCCGGGTCCTCGGGCAGCGCCCGAGTTTCCAAACGGTCAGTCCGCCCCTGGACACGATTTATAAATACTGCACTTTGAACAGATGTAAAGAAGAGAATACTGCAGATAAACAGGTACAACTTATGTAGGAGGATTTGTTTCATCTCTGTGTATCAACTGAGGTCAGTCACTTCACTTAGTATATGTAAGGGTTTACAACCACTTTAATCCTGGGGTCAGATGAGATTCCCCTTTATCGGGGACACAGACAGCAATAAAAACCTGACAGTGGTTCTAATCCTTCACAATGCTATCCAAATCTGCAAAAAAACATTTTGCCTTTAGTTCTACACAAATAGCAGTTGCATAGACAAAATAACCCCGACCATTAATGGCCAACATTTATTACATAAGCAACATCATTACCCTAATGAACATATAGATCTCAGAAATGCGCGGTACAATACCAGATCCGTCACTTGTTAATGTGAAAATCTGACTAACGTCAATACAGTTTCCTGCATGCGACTCCTTTCATAAAATGTACGTCATAAATCTGCCCATCGATTGTCCTGTCAGCGCTTCAGTGACAAATCCATATGTTACAGCAGATTACATAGAGTAACCGAGGAAATAATGGCTCATTACCTGCAAGGACTCCGACGAAGATGTAAAGCTGTAAAATGCTGGTACTGAATGTGGCCAGGATCATGCCTACTCCGCTAAGGAGACCCCCTGCGATGACCACAGGGCGACTGCCATACTTGTTTACCAAGATGCTGCTGATGGGACCTGGATCAATGAGAGAAGAATGGAATACATAGATTGCTTTGCCAAGTCTGAAAACGCTGCTAACATGAAAACAATAAATGTGATTAATAGCATATCACTAAAGCAAATGGAAATAAAAACACAAACAACCATCATAAAACCCTAATGTAAGGGAGGCTCTGATGGGAACCCTGATGTAAGGGGGCTCTGATGGGAACCCTGATGTAAGGGGGCTCTGATGGGAACCCTGATGTAAGGGGGCTCTGATGGGAACCCTGATGTAAGGGAGCTCTGATGGGAACCCTGATGTAAGGGGGCTCTGATGGGAACACTGATGTAAGGGAGCCTCTGATGGGAACCCTGATGTAAGGAGGCTCTGATGGGAACACTGATGTAAGGGGGCTCTGATGGGAACCCTGATGTAAGGAGGCTCTGATGGGAACACTGATGTAAGGGGGCTCTGATGGGAACCTGATGTAAGGAGGCTCTGATGGGAACCCTGATGTAAGGGGACTCTGATAGGAACCCTGATGTAAAGGAGGCTCTGATGGGAACCCTGATGTAAGGGGGGCTCTGATGTGAACACTGATGTAAGGGAGCTCTGATGAGAACCCTGATGTAAGGGGGCTCTGATGGGAACCCTGATGTAAGGGAGCTCTGATGGGAACCCTGATGTAAGGGAGCTCTGATGGGAAACCTGATGTAAGGGGGCTCTGATGGGAACCCTGATGTAAGGGAGCTCTGATGGGAACCCTGATGTAAGGGAGCTCTGATGGGAACCCTGATGTAAGGGGGCTCTGATGGGAACCCTGATGTAAGGGGGCTCTGATGGGAACCCTGATGTAAGGGAGCTCTGATGGGAACCCTGATGTAAGGGGGCTCTGATGGGAACACTGATGTAAGGGAGCCTCTGATGGGAACCCTGATGTAAGGAGGCTCTGATGGGAACACTGATGTAAGGGGGCTCTGATGGGAACCCTGATGTAAGGAGGCTCTGATGGGAACACTGATGTAAGGGGGCTCTGATGGGAACCCTGATGTAAGGGAGGCTCTGATGGGAACCCTGATGGAAGGGGACTCTGATAGGAACCCTGATGTAAAGGGGGCTCTGATGGGAACCCTGATGTAAGGGGGCTCTGATGGAACACTGATGTAAGGGAGCTCTGATGAGAACCCTGATGTAAGGGGGCTCTGATGGGAACCCTGATGTAAGGGAGCTCTGATGGGAACCCTGATGTAAGGGAGCTCTGATGGGAAACCTGATGTAAGGGGGCTCTGATGGGAACCCTGATGTAAGGGAGCTCTGATGGGAACCCTGATGTAAGGGGGCTCTGATGGGAACCTGATGTAAGGGGGCTCTGATGGGAACCCTGATGTAAGGGGGCTCTGATGGGAACCCTGATGTAAGGGAGCTCTGATGGGAACACTGATGTAAGGGGGCTCTGATGGGAACCCTGATGTAAGGGGGGCTCTGATGGGAACCTGATGTAAGGGAGGCTCAGAAGGGGGCCCTGATGTAAGGGAGGCTCTGAAGGGGAACCTGATGTAAGGGAGGCTCTGAAGGGGACCCTGATGTAAGGGGGGCTCTGATGGAACCCTGATGTAGGGTAAGGGGCTCTGATGGGAAACCCTGATGTAAGGGAGCTCTGATGGGAACCCTGATGTAAGGGAGGCTCAGAAGGGGGCCCTGATGTAAGGGAACTCTGATGGGAACCCTGATGTAAGGGAGCTCTGATGGGAACCCTGATGTAAGGGAGGCTCAGAAGGGGGCCCTGATGTAAGGGAGGCTCTGAAGGGGACCCTGATGTAAGGGAGGCTCTGAAGGGGACCCTGATGTAAGGGAGGCTCTGAAGGGGACCCTGATGTAAGCAGGGCTCTGATACTTGTTTACCAAGATGCTGCTGATGGGACCTGGATCAATGAGAGAAGAATGGAATACATAGATTGCTTTTATTAGACTTTGCCAAGTCTGAAAACGCTGCTAACATGAAAACAATAAATGTGATTAATAGTATATCACTAAAGCATATGGAAATAAAACACAAACAACCATCATAAAACGGGTGATGAAGTGTGATATTGGCTCCAATTTATTCTGCTGTATATACTGTACTGTAAAAAAACGTGTGTGTGTTCATGATTCAATAGCTTTTTACTTTCACCAGTTATGCTATAGTGCAGGGGTCTCCAACTATGGCCAAGGGGCTATCCAGCCCACAGCTATAGTCAGGTTCTTCCTTCCCTTTGAACAGTCTTTCCTCAAGACAGTCAGTTTCTAGGACAGCCAGCATTCTGGCAACTTATAACATGCTTGCCCCAGTTCTAGGGTAGACCACTGATAGGGAATATGAAGTAAGGGGGCTTTGATGGGGATCAGAAAGTAAGTGGGGCTCTAATGGGCATCCTGGTGTAAGGCTGCTCTGTGATAATCCTTATGTAAGGGAGGCTTCGAAGAGGACCCTGATGTAAGAAGGGCTCTGAGGAGAGCCCTGATGTAAGGGGGCTCTAATGGGAACCCTAATGTAAGGGGGCTCTGATGGGAACCCTGATGTAAGGGGGCTCTAATGGGAACCCTAATGTAAGGGGGGCTCTGAAGAGGAACCTAATGTAAGGGAGGAACTGAAGGGGAACCTGATGTAAGAAGGGCTCTGATGAGAACCCTGATGTAAGGGAGCTCTGATGGGGAACCTAATGTAAGGGAGGCTCTGATGGGAACCCTGATGTAAGGGAAGTTCTGAAGGGGACCCTGATGTAAGGGAGGCTCTGGTGGGAACATTAATGTAAGAAAGGCTCTGATGGGAACCCTAATGTAAGTGCTCGAATGGTCAGTCCACCCCTGTAAGGGGTCAATCCTCTGCATTGTGTAAAAAGGATGTTTGGTCCTGTCTTCAATAATTCTTTTCCACACTCCCGAATCCATCTGCTGATAGAACAGAACCTTGGGAGCAAGCTGCATATGCTCAGTTTGGTGTGTATTGCTAGAGAGTTTTTTTTTTCTTGGGAGAGTGCATGTGATCAGCACAGGGCCAATCAGCACTGTCCAGACAGAAGGTCAGGGGTCCTGCAGGGTCAGTAGGGGGCCCCATGAAATGCCCCTGGTACCTTTTATAGGCTTTGAGTGTGGGCAAGGACACAGGGGCGCCATGATCCCCTATTGCCCGGGGCCCCATGAGTTGTCAGCCCGCCCCTGACCCCTTATGTTCCACAGTAAGTACAACAAGCATGCTTTACTGCATATACAGACTGATTTTACTGTTGTGGGTTTAGTAATACTTTAATTACTTCCTTCCCTCTTCTCGGTAACAAGGGGGAAGAATCGTCCTGATCACACATCTTCCAACAAGCTGGAAAATATTACCCCATAGACTGCTTCCAACCCCAAGCATCATCATCATTAACACAGTCTATGATAGCTTTGTGTAGCCCGATCCTCACTGGAGTATCAGTTCATGCCATTGAATTTGTGAAGGAGGTACTGAGCAGTTTGAAACTAACCTTATTAATAAAACTTAAAAAAAAAGTCAGATTATGAATGACTGAGACAGTCAGAAATATTTGCAGGGTGAATGCAGGAGAAATCAATTCAGTTCTTAGGTTTTTCAGATTGTTCTTACTTGCTTCGCTGATAGCAGCCGAGCATCATTACCCCCAGAATAAATGACTTCTCTGTTCCCTGTTCAGCAATTTGTACCAGAGCTGCCCAAATACACCGACATAGAGAGAAAAATGCCCGGTCGGCATCTCCAATAAATAAAGCACAATTTAAAAATATATAGCGAGGGGATTTCCATACCAAGGTGAAACCGTTCTAAGTAATGAGGAAATAACATTTCTCAAGAAAAGGATAAAAAATTCAGGGGACAATTTGTGTGGTGTTATACTGGTATTGTATGTCGTTTGGTTTATGGACTGCACTGCGCCTGAAAACAACTGCGGGAAACCATTACGCTTAAACAATGCAATCACACATTCTCCATAACCAAAAAATGAAGGTGCTGAGCGCAGTAAAGTCCCAATTAGTTGTGTATAATGTACAAATAAAACTTCAAGGATTACTAGGAGAAACACAAGGTACAGCACGCTCCATTCCGATCGGTGTGTCATATAGCACAGGAAGAACAGAAACAGAATTATCATAGATCAGCCACAGATAATTCCTAAAAAGATGTACAGAGCTATATTGACAGACAGTAAATTCTGGAATAGGAGGCATACTGAAAGATATAAAACAAACAAAAAAAGATAGATTATATGTAGTGCTACCACATAGGGGACAATAGTTAGGATGGGTCCTCTGTTCTTTACCTCAACCTGTTTAAGAACTTCTGCCTCCCTTACACTCCGGGCTGAGTGTCAAAGCAGGGGCGGACTGACAACTCATGGGGCCCCCGGGCAATAGGGGATCATGGGGCCCCTGTGTCCTTGCCCAAAGTCAAAAAAGCCTATGAAAAAGGTACCAGGGGAATCTCATGGGGCCCCCTACTGACCCCAGGCCCTCGGGCAGTGCCCGAGTTTTCAAATGGTCAGTCCGCCCCTGGTACAAAGCATGCAATATCACAGAAAATCACTGAAAGCAATACTTAGTGCCCAGTGGTAGTAATATATCAGAGAAAACAGACAGTGAACCAGTTGATAAAGGCAAACTTGGTATATTATCACCTGATATGGTGGGTAAAGAAGTAAGCAAAGAAATGGGTGAACAATGGTAATAACGCAGTTTGGCATACAGGGTGGTTAGTAATAAGGACTAGGCATAAGATGATACTTGGCGTCAAGATCAGCATAGACAGTAGCAAGGCCACCTAAAGTGCAGCAGTGAGCAGTAATAAAGCTTGATTTGCCGAACACAGGAACTATACTACCAAAGTGCATTAACAGCGACATGCTAGGCCTAGTCTGACTGGATGAGCACTGTCCATAGAAATTAAGGAAATGGGAGAAGGGAACAAAGGGGACTTGCAGGATGGTTTTACAGGAGGGGGCAGTCCTTTATGTTGTTTTCCTGCCAGCTGTCGTTGGGGCCCTTTAAGAAGCGTTGATGCACTTAAC